CAAGCTTTTCTCCTTGCAAACTCACTAAAATGGCCACCAAAGACACTTTAAAGCTCAAGGATCACACTCATTAGCAAACTAGGGTTTAAGGGACGATAACAAGCAGTGGAGGCTGATAAGGGTAAGGTCCAAATGTCAAAAATGAGCTTAAATAGGGCTCATGCCCTAAAACTATGGTTTTTTTTCACTGGCCACGTACGCCTCATGTACACCTTAGTACGCCCAGCGTACGTGGTTGATGTCCACGTCCATAAGGCCATGTACGCTAAGCGTACACATATGTACGCCCAGCGCACGGAGGGCCTCTCATGCAATTTAAATTTTAACCCAAGGACTAAAAGGGTAACATACCTGATTTCCGAGTGTTACAAACAATGTTACACCTTGTCCAAAGGTACCCAAAAATGTTAGACTTCAATTTGCTACTTTGTTAGAAGAAAATACTTTGGCGACAAAGGAAGAAAGAGGTATATTCTCAATCAATGAAAATGGAGAAACTTGTGAAAAGAACGATAGAGGAAATATGCAAAATTTTGTTACGAAGAAAAAGCAAGGTTCAAAACACATTGATTTCAATCTATTAGAAAGATGATCGAACATGTATTTCCCACCAAAAATCTGATGACATCATCATGATGTAGGTTGCAGTTTTGTCTAATAACTACCCTTAACCACCCTTTTTGGCGCCAATTTGGTGTGTAACTACCATTTGACCACCTTCTTCCTTATATAAAAGGACGTTGAATGTTACAGAAAACGGTTACAAAATTTCATACTTGAAATTTCATCATAGCATCTCTCTGTCTCTATAAAAACATATCACAACAGATATTTTGTGTTTCTAATTTTGATTAGGCATGTAATCAGAAGTGAAGTTCTTGGATTATCCCACTTCTGAATTCGTGAACCCCAGACTATAGGGACGAAGTATAGATTTCATAAAGTAATACAATCATGATCCTTGAAACATTCAAGTTATATTGTTATTTGAAATCCCTAAAATGTAACAAAGGAGTGGATTACTAAAGATGAATCTTCTAATCATCCTTGAAACATTCATATAAATTCCATTGCAGATTCCTGAAGAGAACTCTTCTAACCATCATACAAAATTACAAATGAAGAGTTGACGAACACCTTTGATGGTTCAAGTTCAAGTTCAAGTCAGCCTCAAACGCTTGTTGGTTGTTGGTAGTGAAGATGTTGACTTTCTTTAAAGAGCTATAAAAGATTAATTGTGTGAGTTGTTATTACTTATTCTTATATTTATGAATTTAAAATCAACTATTTTAGTCTTATGTAATGTTTTCATTTCACCGTAACTATTAAGTGTAAGTGTAGGTTGTGGAATAGACATGTAAAAGAAGATGATTTGGATTTAGAATAGAGAAATGATATAATGCACCGTTTGTTTTGTTAGAGTAAATTGAATATGATATGTATTAACTATCATGAACATTTTAAACTTTGGGCAAATGTCATATTAGCCCATCAAACTTTTGCCGTTTGTTTTAAAAGGTCACTAAACTATTTTTTTTGCATATTAAAGTAATAAACTCTTATTTCCATGTTTTAAAATACCCTTTTGTTACCTGCAACCGGATTCAAAGGTAATATACATGTCCGACTCTCACCTCTAACTCATTTCTCCTTGCCACTACACCTCGCACCAGTCTCGCTCACTCAAAAACCCTGGGAGATTAATCGTATGTGCGAAGAAATCTTATGTATCTTCTGTCGGAGAAGGTGAAACCGAGAATCGATTTCGGTTCAATTTCGACTTCAGGAAGGTTTCTGATATGAAATCGTTGATTCCAGTTGTGAGTAATCCATCATCTTCGGGTTCTTTGTTTGGTAGACGTAAGGATCCGAATACGGTGTTTGTTGCCGGAGCTACTGGACATGCCGAAATTAGCATTGCTCAGACTCTGCTCCGGAGCCACCATCTGATGAAGATGAAAACCCCAAACTATCCAAATCGAAAAAATGGAGAAGTAATCAAATCTGATGTTGAACAACACCTGGAGCATTCGGCGATTAACCCCAAGTCCCGGCCTATCACCATTCTTCTCATTACCCACCACCAACACCCCCAAATTATGCCCAAATCAAACTCCATTTTGTTTCATGGCATCCACATTTTGGTTCATATCCATATTTTGGTTCGTACTTCGTTTATCTGTATATGGATTTTGTTTGAATGCAAATCGGTGAAAAGTTTTGGTTTTATGCCTAGTTACTTGACTTATGAAGTGTTTTTATTGATGTAATTGTTATATGATTGATGATTTTTACAAGTACTTGCTGCTTTCTTTTCTGAAAATGTGTATGGATAGAATTCTTGTAGGCGCTAATGGTGACAAGAACAGAATAGAGGTCTAGTAAGTTGAAGGGTGGATTGGAGGTGAGAGCCCAATAGAGGTCTAGTAAGTTGTAAAACTAATTGATTAGTATGTATTTTTCATAATTTAAACTTATAACTAAATTATTTTGGTCCCAGTTCAATCCTATGATCACGATCTTGTAAAGCGAAAATCGATCTTATGTAGGATCTTGATCTTGACATCCTTACATTAAACTAAGACCGATGTCAAATGAACAAAAATTACAAATTCATGTTCCATCCACAAAGGTGTACAAGGTTGGGCATGTTCCTAACATGCATAGAGTTGAGTTTTATTTTGTAGGTTCTATTTATACAGTAGCTAGATTGATGTAAAGGGAATGCCAACATGCTACAAGATCATATCTTAATATATATATATATACATACTAGAGACTAGAGATGAGAGATGGTGCTGGTTTTGCTGCAGAACTGGTTCTTATTACAACTTTATATAATCTATTATTATGCTGTACAGTACACATAACACATGTGAGGCTACTATCAATGAAGAAGACAATTTACAATGCAGCAATGGATGGCAGCTCAGCTTCTCCATCCGCCTGCAAAGAAACAAACATGTTATGTTTAATTTAATTTAATAATACAATGTTTAACAGATTGTATTAAATACAATGGCAGCTTCACCTACCTCTAAATCTTTATTATTATCATGCTGTGATAGATAATGTTCCAGTGCCCCTTCACCATACAAGATTTTGGCCCCACAACCCTGTCCTTGGACTCCCACAGCCTCCTCATCAACAACAACTGCATCTATTATGTCCTTTCCTGTTCTTACATCAGGAATCTGCAATGGAGTTTTAAGTAATGAGGACTTAACGATCTGTGACTTTCTCTATCAAGCCATTTCATTCTTTCTGTATTAAGTCAAGCAAAAAGAAACAAGACCTAAGAGTAGGAGTAATAAGGTTCACAACAAACCTCGTACATGGCATCCATCAAAATGTTCTCTAACAAGGACCTTAAACCCCGAGCACCAGTGTTTTTGGTTATGGCTTTTTTCGCAATTAGTCTCAATGCACTTTCTGTATAATGAAGCTTAACCTAAAAAAAAAAATATAAGTGATATTTGCTAATAGTCAAAATATACAAGTGATATTTGAGGATGCAAGAAGTTACCCCGTTCATCTGAAATAATTTCTTGTATTGCTTCCCCAACGCATTCTTTGGCTCGGTTAGCACCTACAGAATATTTATTGTTTGTTTTTTACTTGATCTGATTGATATACTATTAAGCAAGATATGAGTATTATTGACCAAAGTCTACCTACCTGGACAAGTTGGTTCTCTGTAAGAGCTAATAAGTTGACAAGAATTGGAAAGCGTCCAACAAATTCAGGAATCAATCCGTAAGCAATGAGATCACTACTTTCAACCTGAAAGAAAAAAAAGAATAATAATAATAATAATAATAAAGTTCTCCAAACCAACCAATATGAAAGGTAAGGGTCAAGACTAAAGATAAAGATGGTTTACAGTTTCCAACAAAGATGAAGTGACTGCAGCAGTTGTAACGCCTGCGGTTCTCATGTTTGCACGGACAGGTGCCCCAAAACCAATGGAAGAGTCTTGCCGTCTGAGTTGAAATATAACATCACCCAAGACAAACCACATTATTTTTATTATTATTAAAATAATTAATATACATATATACCTTTCAGAAATGGTTTTCTCAAGATCTATAAATGCACCCCCACATATGAACAGAATATCTTTCGTATCAATCTGCAA